GGGATTTTTGGGGTTTTTTTGGGATTCAGAAGTCGCTGAGGATGCTGATGTCGGCGAACTCGGCGCGGTAGCGGCGCGAGTAGAGGCTGAGCAGCAGCGCCCACTTGAGAGCCATGAAACTCCACACGCACGACAGGAAATAACTGCGGGGGTCAGCCAGGGCTGCAAGAGACGGGAAAAAATCGGGAATCGCTGGGAATTCCGGAGCCTGGAAGAGCTGAACAAGAGCCGGGTGTTCCCTGCGTCCTGCTGGAATCGCGAGGATTTTTTTCCTCCCTGGTTCCGTCGCGACCGCGTGGGTTCGGGGAGTTGGGTTTGTGGGGATTGAGGGGATTCGGGGATTTGAGGGAATTCAGGGAATTCAGGGATGGGATTTGAGGGAATTGAGGGTTGGGATTTGTGGGAATTCAGGGATGGGATTTGAGGGAATTCAGGGATTTGTGGGAATTCAGGGATGGGATTTGTGGGAATTGAGGGATGGGATTTGAGGGAATTCCTGGTTCAGGAGAATTGGGTTTGTGGGAATTGAGGGAATTCAGAGATTTGTGGGAATTGAGGGATGGGATTTGAGGGAATTGAGGGAATTCAGGGATTTGTGGGAATTGAGGGGATTCAGGGATTTGTGGGAATTCAGGGATGGGATTTGAGGGAATTCCTGGTTCAGGAAAATTGGGTTTGTGGGAATTGAGGGAATTCAGGAATCTGAGGGAATTCAGGGATGGGATTTGAGGGAATTCAGGGATTTGTGGGAATTGAGGGAATTGAGGGATTTGTGGGAATTCAGGGATGAGATTTGAGGGAATTCAGGGATGGGATTTGTGGGAATTGAGGGTTGGGATTTGTGGGAATTGAGGGTTGGGATTTGTGGGAATTCAGGGATGGGATTTGAGGGAATTCCTGGTTCAGGAGAATTGGGTTTGTGGGAATTCTGATTCAGGGATGGGATTTGTGGGAATTCTGATTTAGGACGTGGGTTTGTAGAAATTCCTGGTTCAAGGATGGGATTTGAGGGAATTCAGGGATGGGATTTGAGGGAATTCCTGGTTCAGTTTTTTTTTTGAGGGGTTTTGTCATGGAAACGAGGCAATTCCCAGGTTTTTGGGAATGGAAATGAGGAAATTCCAGGGGTTNGTCATGGAAACGAGGCAATTCCCAGGTTTTTGGGAATGGAAATGAGGAAATTCCAGGGGTTTTTTTTTGGGGAATAGAAATGAGACAATTCCCAGTTTTTTGGGAATGTAAGGAAGCAATCCCAGGGGTTTTTTTTGGGAATGGAAAGGAGGCAATCCCAGTTTTTTTGGGAATGGAAAGGAAGCAATCCCAGTTTTTTTGGGAATGGAAAGGAGGCAATCCCAGGGTTTTTTTTGGAATGTAAAGGAGGCAATCCCAATTTTTGGGGGGAATGTAAACAAGGCAATCCCAGGGGTTTTTTTGGGAATGTAAAGGAGGCAATCCCAATTATTTTTGGAATGTAAACAGGGCAATCCCAGTTTTTTTGGGGAATGTAAAGGAGGCAATCCCAGGGATTTTTTTGGGGAATGCAAACAAGGCCATCCCAGGGGTTTTTTTGGGAATGCAAACAAGGCCATCCCAGTTTTTTGGGGGAATGTAAACAGGGCAATCCCAGAGTTTTTCTGGGAATGCAAACAAGGCAATCCCAGTTTTTTTGGGGAATGTAAAGGAGGCAATCCCAGGGATTTTTTTTGGGAATACAAACGAGGCCATCCCAGTTTTTCTGCTGGAGGAGGTGACCTCGATGCCATCCCTGCAGGCGTCCCCAGAGGAGGAGGTGACAGGAGCAGCCCCCAGCCCCTCTCCCAGTATTCCCAGTGGCTCCCAGTACTCACACTGGTGCTGGGTGATGGCCAGGGCCAGGAAGGTGCAGCAGCCCAGCCCGGAGAGGGCACAGAAGAGAATCCCCACGGCCAGGAAGAACCTCAGGCCCTTTAACCAGGTCCTCCAGTAATCCTGCAGGTACATCACATGGGTGATTAGGGCCCAGAGCGCCAGCACACCTGTCCAGGTGACAGCAGGGA